GCCGACTCTGCGCCGACTCTGGCAGTCTTTTGCCACCACGTCCCTTCTGCCATGTTTTGTGCTGCATACCTTTGCTTCACATATGAAAACAGTTTGTGAATTAAAACCAAATTAAGAACAGCTGAATTCAATTAGCTCTTTTAAACTAAAAATGGAAATGAAAAATTTGCATGTTGTTTCTGGTACTTATGAATATATCTCAAAACACATGGAGAAGACAAATTAATCAATCAAGCTAATACAAAACAAACTTGCATGCACTCCAAGGAGAACTCCTGATCTTTAAAGTACCCTTTCCATGTTGATTACAGTCACTTTTGAGTCAATTTTCCTTTCAGTTTCTGATGAACTGCAGCAATGCTGTAACACTGTGAGAAAACATCTCTATTTTTAAAGTGTTTCTCTTCAATGAGATTAGCATAGATGAGAACACTCCTATTTATTTTGTGCTTTTAGTCTTTCTTTTTATAAAAATCAAACTTAGCCTGACAATATTACTTTAATGAAGGAACGACCATACCATACAAATTTTATGCTGCCTTAAAAAAAGAATCTAAACTAGCAAATTCTCAATTGAGTATGTCAAGCTTTATAAGTGAATCGTAATATTCGCAATTCCTTTGCTCTCTCTCACATCTCGTAAGTCAATGTACACAGCTAGAGCAGGCTTTTAGTAAGCGTCACGGGACACGGGGTGAGCAGCACTTCTCCTTCCAGACAAAAGCAGCAAACGAGAGTAAAACTGTTTTTAACTCAGTAAACACATCTATTTGTTCAGTCTTTATTGTTGTGTTTGTCCACATATTTCTGTCGTGCAGAAATGGTCAAGTTTCTGCATGCTCCCAGTAAGTCCTAATAAAGAATCAAATTAACTCTGTTCACATCCATCTGGGGACAAAAGATAGATGCAGCTATTACATTCTAGCAGGTCTGGTGTTTACCGTCTTTCTATGAGCATACACAGATTCAGAAATTAATGTCTACGGGGAGAAAAGAAAACAAACGGCAAACCCCAAACTTACATCTCTGTCCAGAATTCGGCCAGTGCTATTTAGGTATAACCTCTGGCTGATAGGATCGAGGATCACCCAGTAATCTACGTTGTCCTTTAAGGAGAGTTCAATGCTGGGGTCTGGCCCTCCTGCGGTCCCTTTGATCAGCATATTGTCAACCAGGATAGTGCCTGCAAGAACAATAAACACACAAGGGAGAAATTTATATCTGCATCTACATTTTCATAACGACTGCAGCACTAAAAATACCGTTTCCTAACTAGGGTTTCTGGTAGTTTGTATTTGCGTGATGTTTAAAAAGTCTGAACCTTATTATCCGTGATGAAAAACTGCCTCTGACACTGAAGCTATTTCAGACAATACTAGAAGCAGCGCTTGCAATGCACAATAATTTACGTTGACAATGAGACCCCTCATATACAGATATGTATTTAACATTATGAGTTTCTTCTCCATTGAGTAATCATCACCCAATCTCACCTCAAAGAAACAAAAGCACTGAAATAACAACTAAAACTGGAATAAATTTTCTACAACAAAAGTGACACATCAAGGTGAGGGGAAAAAAAGAACAGTTACATAAAGCTCTCCAGGAAAAAAAGAGGTTTTATACCTTGAGTTGCTCTGCGTAACTGCATAAATTGCAGCATAAAGAAATGAAAACTACATCTACCAAGACAAAGGTAGTACTCAATTAGGACCAGCCATCTATTCAACATACATAACATGCTTTTTTTTCTTTTCTTGTCCCATCCCGTCAGTTAAAAGTCTTGCCTAACACCTCTATTAGTCAGTTCACAGTACTCACAATGTACGTAATTCCCCGTGTAAAACACTCCAACTCACTTTCCAAATGTCAAGCATTACTAACTACCCTACACATTGCACTCCGGTGCCTCAGATCTGCATGCACTGTATTTATAAACGCTTCTCTAAGATTTCGTTTTTCTGAAAAAGTAACACTACCCAGTTTTCTTCACACTGAAATATTAAAAGAAATGATCTTTGTTTAAGTTTACCGACAGTTATGAAGAAAATCTGTGAACATCACTAGCTGCAGAGTATTTAAATTAGTTAAAAATATTTATCACATAACCTCCTGTATTAAGGGCCCAAATAATTTATTCCAAAGTGGACAGTAAAGTTTCTTTACACCTTCACTTTATAGCAACAGCGACTCTGTACAAATATATTCGTCTGGGGGAAGTGGTTCTGAGCTGGGCCAATGCTTCTTCTGGATAAAACTGTAAAACTAATTACTGGTCTTAGCCACAGCAAACTGGTTTACAGTCCTGTTGAGGAAAACACCACAGTAAGGTTTTTCAATCATTTATTTCGAAACTACTTTTTATAACACAATAGAGATAACGGGAAGAAATACTGCCAAACATCTGTAACTTTGCACCAAAGACTGGTTTCAAGTTAGAGGAGCAATACCCTTTTAGCCACATGCAAAACACGGTTGCTACCCACGTGTTTTACGGCTATCAGTGCGATTTCTTGCACAATACCGTCTGTACAATTACACTCTGACCCAGTAGCTTGAACTGGCATACAAACTTTTGGGAGACCGCCACTAGTTTTAATGTAAAGAGGATTTCACCAGGAAAAACTGATTACCAACCCTGTGACAGTTCAAAGCGTTTATGTCTACTCTAGTCACCGATTTCTCTAAAATCCATAGAATCCACCAGCTTCTGTGTATTGCCCTCATTATTGGGCCTCAATGATGATGTAAAGAAAGGTCAGCAATCCAAATGTGAGGTCACCTGAACAAAAGGTGCCCCAAGAAAAGCCTCCCTGAAAAAACAAAACTAAAGATAACAAACACCACAATCACCCTATCAGCTTCAGTCATTTTAATTTCTTCCAGTCTTCTTGTTCAGACCTGAAGGCGAAGTCTAAGTTCTGGCTCTATCTTCACCAGCACTAATCCCAATAGAAGGCTCTACACCTCCATTTGAACAACTCTCAGGGGAAACAAGATCTGCAGTTTCCACCTGTAAATGGCACAGCAGTAGGCATTTCAGCAAGGGCCACCTGCACATAGCAAATCTGTAAGGTGGTGCTTATAGAAAATATTACATGTACAAATTCTTGCTGGGAAAAGGTGGAGCTTAAGGGATGGAAGAATTGGGGCAGCTGAAGTAACCAGACGACACGGAAAAGGGAATAGGAGAGGGTTGTGAAAGCAGTGGAAAAATATACTGCAACAGACGATTAGGAAATAGGGGAAAGAAAAAGCAGCAACAGCTTCTGCCTTTCCTCCCATGTTGAAGTCTAACGAGTCCGTGAGGAGCAAAGGGGCATCACAGCACAAGTCACCAGGACGCAGAGCCACCACATCTGCCCACCAACACAACACTTTCAAATGCTTAAGCATATGACATATAGAGAGGGTTTATTTCTCTCCTCAGAAAATTAAGTGTTTAAAAAAAAAAAAAAAAAAGAAAAAGATTTTCCTATAATGAAAACTAGTCCCTGGTTTCTACAAAACTCAAGATTATGAATATAAACCAACACTAGAAGGTCCTGATTGAAGTGACGGCAGCAAAGAGAAATTACTTTCAGACTTCACAGTTGCACTGCCTGTAGAGAAACCCAGCGTATGCAACGCTAAAGGAATTAGGCAGATAATCGTGGCAGAGCTCTGACTGCTAATAAAATAGTCTGCAGGGCTGCGCCCCTGGGGAGGTAGCGATTACCCTTCCATGAACTGCATCCAAGTAATGAGAGGAAAAAATACATACCTCAAAGGCACGTACAAATTCCTCACGGGACAGTGTGCATTTGGAAGTGGCAAGACACAAGGGCCTTACTACCAGAAGCACTTTCCACATGTTAAGGATCGTGCTCCGGTTTAGTTACAGGCAAAAAAAGAAGTATAATTTTACACTGCAACGTCTACATAAAGAGGAAAGTGCCACAAAACAAGTCAACAGTGGTTGTAACAGTGTCGTTACGGTGGCATACACCAAATATTTTACTACCTGGCATTTGCAGGCAGCTGTGGTTCAGTACAGGCTACGTACACCACGGTTTGCTGCTCTTTGTCCAAGGAGGCTTCGTCCTCCCTTGCCTAGTTTCTAGAAGATTGACTTCTGTGGAACAGCCTTCTGCAAGAGCTAAAGAGCTCAAACAACTTTAATTTTTAACGAACCTGAGAATAAATGATTGTAATTACATACTTTAAAAAAATATTTAATCAATTTAAAATCTTGACGTGATGACGAATTTTGTAGTCTCTAGTAAACCACTGCTACTTAACTGACCTCGCTGCTTTGAATTCTGCATCTCTTTCGACTTTCCTCTGTTGCACTCTATAATAGCTATCTGCTTGATTTAACAAAGCACTTCTATTTGGTTTGTTTTGATACCGTGACTCTTTTGTTCTTAAAAATGGACTGGTTTTTCTTCAGATATTCATGAGGCACTTGTACTCTGTCTTTGCAAATAAGCCTTTTAATAGCCATCCTTAAAGTATTGTTGTTCTAATTTACCAAGAATCTGACATTGTGGGTCCTTTTTTTTTTCCCCTTTAGATATCTATCATTTTGTTCCTTACCTTCTGCCTCTGTCCTTGGCCTAAAATGCCAGGGAGGCAACCTACGAACAATAAATCTGAATACACACAGTTCGACGCAACTGCATCAACAGTTTGTCCATTAACTCTCCATACACGTGAGCACAAAAGCAAACACATCCCTCGATATTTGCCACGCACTAATACAATAAATTTAGACAATTTGCTTTCGTAATGTTTTGCACAAACAGAAGCTCCAATAATACTCCAGCTGAAGTGAAATCTTTTACCTTGTTCTGAAAGTTACACACCACCTCCTGCAATTATATTGCAAGTTCAATTTTACAGTATTGGGGGGGATGAGGCGTTGGTCAAAGTCTGCTGAGGGCACCTGAAGAGGATGCTGCCGCTCATGGTGAGGAGAGAGGCGGTCCATGTAGATGCATGTTTCGTGCATCCAACTTCTGGGAAGTTACACTCGGACGCTCAAATTTTCAATAGCATTTCAGCACTATTCCTTGCACTTCTGTCCTGTGTTCACGTCATTGAAAAGGAGACCTGGGACTAGAATTAGTGATATTTTTCCTGGCTAATTAAAAAAAAAAAAGACTGATGTGAAAGTTAAGATTGCACATCAACATGAGCAGATTTTAAGAACAGCTTTTCATCGTGTTTGGAGAACATGATTTGGCTGCTTTTCCACCTTCACTGAAGCCTGATGATGACCGAGATGTCTTGCAGAAAGACCTTACAAGATTTTCAAGGGATTAGTACAGAATAAGCCTCAAGGAATCAAAGTCAAGCAAATTGTTGGCTAAAAAACAACAAAAAAGCCAGAAACCAACAGACTGTACAAGAGAGGAAAGATCTATTATTTTCAGGTGTAATATTATTTTTCTGAGAGTAATGACATTTACTCAGAAACCTTATCTGAGCTTTTTGGGAATTATTCAGCAAGCAGCTACAAAACGAGACAAAAACAATAAAAATTGTAAAGCGCTGTAAACATTATAGCAATAGTTCTACACTAGACTATTCCTTTGTGAGAAATCCAGAAGCTGAAAATCTTCATTAGACTGAAATAATAGGGAAGGAGTTTGTTTTTACAGATCGGTCTCCGCAGAAGGTGATCTTTCCATGGGAAGGGCATTACGAGGGACTCAGGTGCAAAAGCCATGAAATACAGAATTTGCAGTTTATGCTCTACTAAAGACAGCAGACCTGCAGTGCTCAGTGAGGACTCGCTTATTAAATGATTTAACACATCTTGGGATTATTTTAGTTGAATGTTTCAGCAGAGCCCTTTTTTAAGGAGTCAGTGAATTACGGTTGGTCTGGGAATAACCCTTACGCCGGCACATGAATCAGAAAACAGGATCTAGTAGAATGAAACCCACAGCACTGTACTTTTAGGAGTTAAAAGGCGTTCGCATCAGTTGTCTAAATGCAAGGATTACAAAACAAGGGGGTTGTTTACTTCCACCAGTAATATTTCAAATTTAAAAGTTAAACTCACAGCTGGAGGAAAGTATCATATTCTTCCTACCTGAGGCAATAACTAAAAAGACAAAAGGGAGCCAGGAGCGGGTTTCTCTTTCTGCAGTGGCTGAGCTCAAGGCACGTGGAGCACGTCCCACCTCCCCAGTG